AAAAAAAAAAAAACCAACAATGAGATATTTATTATCTTACTCCAGCATTAATAGCAAATTCAAAATAACATAAACAACAAATGCTAGTAAGGGTATAGAGATATTAGGATACTCCTACATTGCTGTTGGGACTGTGAAATGGTTCAAATACTCTAGAATAAGGTACAGAGTTTCCTCAGAAAATGGGAAATTGAAATACCTTATGACCCAGCAATTCCCATACTTGGTATACTTCCACAAGAAATATGAGCCAGGACATGAATATATATATGCACACATAGTTCACCACAGCACTATTCAAAATAGCAAAAAAGATGGAGGCAGACCATTGCTTGCCAATGGAAGAATGGATAAACAAACTTTGGTACAAACACACAACAGAGTACTATGTGCCTTTGAAAGATAGTGGTGAATCAACAAAACACCTTATAACATGGATGAACCTTAAGGATATTATGCTTAGTGTAATTAGTCAATCACAAAATGGCAAACACTGTATGAGACCATTATTTTAAAATTTTAAGAAAAGGTTTCCATATTAAAGACACATTCTTTGATGGATTATCAGGAATAGTAGGGAGGGGAGAGTAAGTCACTAGCTAGAAGGTTATGTTAGCTTGGGTGGCAAGGAAGGCAATACAAGGAAAGGGAGGGCAATACATAAGATGCAGGAGGGTGGAAGATGAACAATCAAGATAGAGGGAGATATAGTAAGGTATGCATGGGCTAAATAGTATAGATAAAAACAGTGATTTACACACAACCTTAGAACAACAGTGTTCTGTGATACAGGGATAAAGACATAGTATGAATGAGTAAAGGAGGGAGAAAAATTTTTTGGTGTTTGACTGTCTTGGGGATATTAGTTTCCCCTATCTACTATTGTAAAATAGACATTCAAGTGTGACAGAAATCAATATTGAGTATTATGACAGAAAGCTTCTAAAGCCCATCTTCAGCCTACAACTGATTGGATTTGCTAAATGGGGAGTTAGAATTTGTCTAGGGAAATAGGACTTTTGTTAAGGTTTTGTGGAGTATCATGCCTTAGGTAGAATCTTGAGCCACACCCAGAACCTTCTGAGATGGGACATTCCCACTTGAAAACACATGCAGACCCACCCAGAACGTCTAAGAGAACAGAAGATTCTCATTGAAAGAAAGACCTGCAGAAAGAAAGTAGACTTTACTGATACTTGAATTTCAAGACAGCTGTCTGCTTAGGAGGAATCAAGGCAAAAAAAAAAAAAAAATCCATACCATCAGAGAAAACCCCTTCTAGGACTGAAACTTAAAGGGAACCCTCAAGAAGTGTAGTATACTCACTGGTGACCACCTGGGTCTATTTGTGAGTGGAAGTGAGAGAAATCCAGCAATAAAGACATAAGCTGAGTCTAACCATGTTCCAATGACAACCACTGACCTGGAGATCAGACAATGAAGAGGAAAGGTTTGAAGTTTAGGAAGATGTGTGAACACTGACTTAGCCCTTGGGGACTGGGACTGAGAGTGAAGCAGCCAGCTGGTCTGGAGTGAAGGGAGGTGTACATGAACTACCAAACATACAACTATTATCTATTTGACCGAGTTTGGATGGCCAGCTGGCCAGAATTCAACCCTAGAAAAATAAAGATGTTTAATACTGTGAACAAGTACAATTGCTACAATTTGACAAACTAGACTTTTGCTTATAAATGCAAGCACTCAAAATTCCAACTGGAGTAGAAGGATTCTTCAGATTAAGGAATAAGCTTGTTTCCTCTGTGTACTGGTCTGATAAGGATGATAAATTTAGACAATGGCTACCAAAAATGGGGAAGCTATAAAGGAGTCCTGGTGGGGTGCTGTGGGTTAATGCGCCAGACTGCAAAGCCATTTGAACTGCAAGGTCGGCAGTTCAAGCTCACCAGCTGCTCCTTGGAAACCCTATAAAGGGTTACTATGGGTCAGAATCGACTGGATGGCACTTAACAACAACAATATAAAGGTATGAAGTGGCTGGCTTACAAGCTTTCATAAGTGTGCTTATTAGTTTCACAGTGTGAGGGGTAGAATCCCCACTGAATTGTTTCCTTCTTTTCCAGATGTACCTTATGAATGGGATGGGGGACGATGGTGATAGGATTTTATGGCTCAATTGTGAGTAACTGTTTGGAGGATTAATTGTGATTGCCACATCTGCAGTTGTAGAAGATGTATAACTAAAAGGGGGTAGCAATTTATCTTTCATTTCAAGAAAATATGATCCTAGGACCATCAAGAAGGATGAGCATGAGTGGAGTGTGAGATCCCTACCTAGAAAAGTGGCAAGAACAGAGATGGTGACAAAGGCAGTGGCATGAAGACACAGAGCAGTGGCAGGCTTTAGACTTAAAAAGGCGGTGTGCCTGCGGACAGGAGTCTAGCTTGTAGAATGTGTCCTTTGGACATTTAAATGAATATATACTTTTTGTTTTGTAAGTGTACATCGAACATTTTTGCTTTGTTCATTTATGAAATATAGGATGTAAATGCAGAGCCACAGGGAGGACACAGGATAACTGTTTTTGCAGGAAGGAGAATGTAATCAAAATGTGTAATTTGTTGAATATAAAGCTTGATCTTGCCTATAAATCTTCACCCAATTCACAACAAAAATTTTAAAAAATAATAAAATAAATATAAATATATATGAATGAAAATAACATTTTGGCCCTATCTGTTTGTCTCCCTCAACTAACCTGCTTCCTCAAGAGTAGTCACCACATTTTGTTCAATTTTCTAATATCAGGACTGACACAGAGAAGCTACCCAGTACTATTATGTGCATGAAGTTAAGTCTTTAATGCAGTTTATACACCCACTTCACAATTATCAAGGAGCCCTGGTAGTGTAGTGATTATTTGTTGGGCTGCTAACCGAAAGGTCAGCAATTTGAATCTACCAGAAGCTCCACAGGAGAAAAGATAACACTTTCTGATCCCATAAAGATCTATTGCCTTGAAAACCCTATACATGTTTGGCTGAATTGGAAATGACTTGATGGCATACCACGATCAACTCACTTATCAACATGGTTAGGTTCCAAAGATCAGGTCATAATGCTAAAATTAGCATTATGAGAAAATGGACATTAAATAACTGCCAAACCACTGAGCATGACACCCAGTCAAACTGACACATAATCTTGACTGTTAGAACCAGTACTACTCTGATCTCACACCTCAGTGTTCATTATTGAACAAAACAGTTGGATAATAAATTACTTGTTGTTGTTAAGTGCCATTGAGTCATTTCTGATCCATAGCAAGCTTGTATAGGGTTTCCAAGGAGCCACTGGTAAGCCTGAACCACTGACCTTGCAGTTCAAATGGCTTTGCAGACTGGCGCATTAACCTATAGTGCCTTACTGTAGTCATAAATATGAAGTGTAGATACCAAGACAGTCATTAAATGAAGCATATTTCCCTTATTCCTGTCTTTACTTATCTCCAGTTAAACAACTAACCAGGTTAATAATACACACTTCTTGATCTAAGTTAAAATCATATAATATTATGTAAAATAATAAAATACGAGTGCCAAAAGAAATGGTTACTCTTCCCAAAAAACAAAATTGAATGATTAGGAAAACAGAAAAAAGGCTATTGTTGTTTAGAGGCTGGGAAGACAACTATGTATATAAGACTTAGGAAGGAAATTTTAAAAATATGGACGAATTCTCTATTTAAATGAAACATAAATGGTAAACAATTCATTATGAGTTTGATTTAAGAAGAAGATAAAGTACAGCTCTCCAAACAAAGAAAACAAAGTCTTTGTCCTTTATTGAAAACAAAACCAAAATATTTAGCAAATAGATTTTTATATGATTCAAGTTAAAAATGAAATGTTTAAAAAGTAAATTTTAATTCCTGCCTTACCACAAACTTTCAATGAACTGTCTAACTATTATAATAGCTTGCAATAAGTAAAGGACCTTTACTACAGTTAACATCTCACAAGAAACAGTATTAACTTAAAAAAAACACTTCTAAGATATTTCCCAATACCACATTGTACCATTCTGTTCATTATATTTATAATTTCCCTTTTTATCTTAAAAAAATCAAGAACAACAAAATGATACACATTAAGCTGTACATTATATGTTGACTGTACATTCCAATGGATTTTTACTAAAACACAGATCATACAAGTATTACACTACATTGTAAAATAGAAATTATTTTTCAATTTAATAAAATACATTTTCAAGCCCTGAAGAATAATCTGCTTTTAAATAATTTTAATGCTGAGTACCCACCTAAAACTATTTAACCATCACCATTAGCAACATCAACAATTTAAAAGGAATGGAGCAAGGATGAGCGGGGGAGAAGGGAGGCAAAGAACAACACTGACAGTTGAGTGAGAAGTAGCAAAGAATACTTACCTTCCGATTCTGATCATACTCAGAATCTATCCCCAAAATGCTATTCACTTCTACATATGGATATTTCGTCTCCAGGACACTGACCACATGTTCTGTTTTCACCTTTTCTCCAGTCCTCACCTTGTTATATATCTGAAGAAGAAAAATCAGGAAGCCAACTGTACTTTTAAATTTAAATTTTTAATTATAAAATATTTCTGAGGAAATTTTTTTTTTTTTTTTAATAAAAGCAGCTGTGTATATAGGAAAACCACAACTGGTTTTATAAGAAGGTTGAGTAGGACAGGTTATTTTGGTAAAAGATGTTCCAAAATATGAGGGGCATTTAAAAAGTTCATGGAAAATTTTCATTACCTCTTCATTCCATATTTTAATGAACATTTTATAGCCCTTTTGTATGTATGGCAAAATGCCTATTTTTTGAAAACAGATTAAACACAACACAAAGACTTTGTCTGCATGTTAATGTTAGATAAACAAATGTACATTTTAATTAACAAAAAATGTCATTGATTGAATCTCGAAACAATAAATACAGATAGTCCCGGGTTACAAACAAGATTTGTTTCTGTTTCTGTAAGAATATGTAGGTCAGTCAGATCAGTTGCATACAGTTATTTAGTCTTTAAAATCTGCACGTGCAGCAAGTGAAGGTGATTGTAATGAGAATTAATTGTAAGCAGGGGTATGCATTTTAAAGTTGGACAATTAATAAGGAAGACGGTAAAAGAATAGAAGAATTTGAATCATGGTATTGGTAAAGAATATTCAAACTACCATGGTGCCAGAAGAACAAACAAATCTGTCTTGGAAGACATACAACAAGAATGCTCCTTAGAAACCAGGATGGCAAGACTGTGTGCAGGACTGGGCAGTGTTTCATTCTGTGTGCAAAAGGTCACTATGAGTGAAACTACTCAAAGGCATAGAACAACAACAGAGGGTGGTTCATTCCTTTCAAAGCGAGAATAAATTTATTTAACATTAAAGCAGGATTTCAAAGTGGAATAAGGCTGGCCACACTGCTTTGAAAGAGTATGCCTTTCCACAGTCCAATCAATATTCTCACACATCAGTCTCCTGAAAGAGTTCAATGTGCCTCTGTTCCAGTTCTGTGACAAATCACCCAAATTGTAAAACTTCTGGTCTGTTCTTATTTCATGTCTTCATCCATGACAGAACCAGTTCAAAATGTCCTTAAGTTGGACACTCATAACCCTGGGGTACATAAAAAATAGAGGAGCAACATCATGTTTCGGGGTAAAATAAAAGTGGTGAAAATCAACTGATTAAAGATGGTTTTCTCAATAGTTACCACTGATCTATACACAAAAGAACCATTGCTTCTAAAGTTGTTTATATATAAAATGGAAAACAAACTAAGAAACCACAGCAAGTCCTTTGTTTGAACTTGAACAAATAAATACTGTGGATACACAAAGAAATCCGATCATTTCAGCATTCCCAGTTAAAATGGGGAAAACACACTTAGTAAGAATTTTCTAACTTAATATCATACTGAACCCTAAATTTAAAAGTCATATGATGAGCTCAATAGATAGTTTTAAACAATTATAGAACATCATCACATTTACCAAATTGTATCAACTAGTTATTTCAAATCACCAAAACATAAAAGACTAATATACTAAGAAGCCCTAGAAGGGCTCCTAAAACATTTTATCTTAGCTTATAAATCACAGAACCCTATTACATGGGTAAGTCAAAAAGTATTGCTGCAAAGTCATATACACCTTAATTAAACAAAAATATCAAATGTGAAGCTACTGTTTCTCAACATATGCTCCATCTAAGTCTATATAGCCCTGAAGGAGATGTTTCCATCTCACTAACCCTTCTGGAAATAATTCTGTGCTCTTTGATTTATACCACATCTAAATAACAGTTTTGGCATTCTCCAGGAACAAACTGTGCTTCTTTTCAATGTTCTCTGAGTTTAGGGAACAAAAAGATGTATGAAGGAAGATGATCAATAAACCTATTTGGAATAAACCTGTAACATGTAAGAAATAGAACTTTAGTGGGAATAAGGCTTTCCAATGAAATTCTTGTAGGACAGTCTTTGCCACTACTAAAGAATGAGTTGAGAAAAAATGAGTTGGCAAAACTTTCTTGGCCTTTTTCTCAACAATGTCATTGTCAAATTTCTTAAAATTTCTTCCTAATAAGAGTCTATGATCATCTGGTGTCTTTTAAGAAAGTCTATCAAGATTACCTCTTAAGGGTACCCAAAACCTTTTGATCTGACTTCTCTGCCATCTCCCAACCTTCCAAAAAATATTAGATCTCTCTAAAAGCTGTTGCTTTATATAGAACAATAGTCATATGCATGTGTTATAAAGCCTCAATGATTTGAAAAGATGTTCACTGAGTTTTGTTAATAATTTTCATATTAAACTTGGCCTCAAAATCATCCTCCCCATCTGTGGCACAAAAAGCATCCATTTCTTTAAAGCACCATAATGAGATCCCTGGTGTGACACTTTTGGATAAGCACTGGACTGCTCACCACAAGGTAGGCTGTTCAAACTCACCAGTTGCTCCTTGGAAATGTCACTATGAGTCGGAACCAACTCAAGGACACTTAACAACAACAAGAAGACTAGGACAAGTATGTTACTCAGAGAACTTATCTGTAGTCATCTACTAATCCAATAGACTTGTTTACACAGGTTTTGTTTGGAATACACCTGTACATGCAGGAACTAGAACCCTAGTGGTAATACTTTTTGATTTACCCTCATACTAAGTTATTAAGTTAGTGAGTCAATATAGTAAAAGGTGTCCTGAAACATAAAACATGTAAAGGCTGTATAAAGTAATTTACCTTTGTTTTCCTCTCCACAGAAATACAGATTCCTCTTACCTCATACATTAATTTTTAGTGTAAATAAGATTCAAAAACTTATTTGACATTTTAAAGGAAAACATACATGCATCAGTGTTTGGAAAGCATGATAAGCATCCAAGTCTTGAGCAACATAATTATAAGCTCGAAAAACAGCCACTCCAGCGTCCTGCATCCCATCAACATCTTCAGAGTCATTAACCACAAAGATCAAGCCAATTCTAGGGGAGGAGGTGAGAGATAGAAGAACATAACACTTATTCCAAAGAATATAACTTGTTAAAAGGAATGCCATTCACATACCCACCCAAACATTGAAGTTAATAGAGAAAAAAAACGCTTAGTAGAAAAAAAAAAGTTCATATCTAAGTCTAGTACAATTGCCAAAGACAATTATCACAAAATAATATGCAGACTCTCATGTTCTTGCTGTTGTTAGGTGCCATCAAGTCGGCATCAACTCATACCGACCTTATGCACAGCAGAACAAAACAATGTCTGATACTGGGCCAACTGCACTACTGTTGCCACACTTGAGTCCATCAATGCTGCAACCTGGCCAATCCATCTTGCTGGGGGTCTTGCTCTTTTTCTCTGACCCTTCATCTTACCAAACATAATATCCTTCTCCAGTGACTGTTCCCTCCTGATAATATGTCCGAAGTATGAGAGAAAAAGTTTGGCCATCTTGGCCTCCAAGGAGCACTCTGGCTGCACTTCTTCCAAAACGGATCTATTGGTTCTTTGGGCAGCTCATGGCACTTTTAGTATTCCCCTCCAACACCGTAACGCAAAGGCATCAATTCTTCTACAGTCTTCCTTATTCACTCTCCAGCTTTCACATGCATATGAGGTTATTGGAAATACCATGGCTTAAGTCAGGCGCACCTTAGTCCTCAAGCTGACATCTTTGCTCTTCAACACTTTTGAAAGGTCTTGTGCAAGATTTGCCTAATGCAATACATCATCTGATCTCTTGACTGCTGCTTCCGTGAGTGTTGATAGTTGATCCAAGAAGAATGAAGTCTTTGACAACTTCAATCTTTTCTCTGTTGATAAGAATGTTGTTTATTGGTTCAGTGGTGAGGATTTTTATTTTCTTTATATTGAAATGCAATCCATACCGAAGGCTGTGATCCTTGATCTTTATCAGTAAATGTTTTAAGCCCTCTTCACTTTGAGCAAGCAAGGTTGTATCATCTGCATATCACAGGTTGTTAATGAGTCTTCCTCCAATCTTGATGCCACGTTTTTCTTCATAGAACCCAGCATCTCAGATTATTTACTCAGCATACAGGTTGAATAAGTATGGTGAAAAAATACAACTTTTTTGCACACCTTTCTTAATTTTCAAACATTCAGTGTTCCCATGTTCTGTTCAAACAACTGCCTCTTGGTCCAGGTACAGATTCCTCGAGTACAATTAAGTGTCCCAGAATATTCATACTTTACAATGTTGTCCACAGCTTACCATGATCCACACAATCGAAAGCCTTTGCATAAAGGACAGGTAAACATCTTTCTGATATTCTCTGCTTTCAGCCAAGATCTATCGGACATCAGCAATGATATCTCTTGTTCCACAGCCTCTTCTGACTCTGGCTTGAAACTCGGGAAGTTCTCTGTCAATGTAGGATGGTGGCCATTTCTGTATTACCTTTAGTAAAACTCTACTCACTTGAGATATCAAAGAGATTGTCAGATGATTTCCGCATTCCATTGGGTCACCTCTCTTTGGAAGGGGCACAAATATGGATCTCTTCCAATCAGTTGGCCAGATCTGGCAGACTCTCATATGCACTGTTAAATCAAACTGTATTCATATCACAGAAAGATTCCTTCATTGATGGGAAGAATGTTGCTACAGCTTTAGGTGGAGGATTTGATCTGCTTTTAAGCTAAATATATTATTTACAGTCCTAGGGGAAATAAGACTTTGCAGAACATAAAAATATACAGGAAGGGGGATATTTTACAATTCTATGCTGGCAAGTGAACAATTCTTAGTAAATGGAAATCTGGAAAAGATTGTTATCCTTTTGCAAAACAGCTACAGTCACACTGCAGACCATAATGAGATATCATCACTTTTCAACAAAGTGACAATGTGGTAGCCACTAGCCACATGTACTACATAGTTGAAATATAGATATTGCAAATGGAGAAGTATTAAGTTTAAAATACACAATGGCTTTTGGACATCTGGAGCTCTAGTGACAGAGTGGGTTAAGCATTGGGCTGCTAGCTGTAAAACCACCCATCAGGCACTTGACAGGAGAAAGATGAGGCTGTCTGTTTGCTCCTGTAAAGATTTAGTCTCAGAAACCCTATGGAGTAGTTCTACTCTGCCCTAAAGGATTGCTACAAGCTGGAATCGGCAGGGGGCAGTGGATAATGCAAAAAGAAAAAGTAAACTATCTCAATCATTTTATATTGACTTTTTATATTGATCAAAGTTTCTTTGAACTTTGATAAGGTGGGCAGTAGAAAATCCTAAATAGCATGGCGGTGGTGGTATGCCATCTAGTCAATCAAGACTCCTAGCAACCTCATATAGGGTTTCCAAGACTGATCTTTACTGGAGCAGAAAGCCTCATGTTTCTCCCATGGAGTACTGGTGAACTCAAACTGCTAACCTACAGTTAGTAACTACCAGTACTCTTTCTAAATAATATATGCTTCTTGTTGTTGTTGTTAAGTGCTGTCGAGTCGGTTCCAACCCATAGCAACCCTGTAAAGGATTTCTAAGAAGCAGTTGGTGAGCCTGAACCAGTGATCTTGCAGTTCAAACTGCTTTGCAATCTGGTGCATTAACCCACAGCGCCATATCAGGACTCCTCCTACTCATATTTTAATTGCATTGAATAAAACTGAATTAGACAATAGCAAGTACTAATGAGAATGTGGAGCAATGGAATTTTTTAAAACTGCTTCTGGAGTATAAAATGGTACCACTATTTTGAGAAACAATTTCACCAGACATGCCACCTTTAAGTATATAACCAAGCTTACATGACTTAAAAAGCAAAATCAAGAATTGGAGAGTTGTGGGGGATGTACAACAATCAGTGGAAAAACCATAAAATATTAATACAATAGACTACTTTGCAGCAGTAAAAATGAATCAACAAAACTATTATTTGTATCAACATGGAAGAATCTCATAAATATAAAATAGAGTGAAAGAAGTCACAAAAAACACTTCGTATTTACTATCCATAGTAACAACATCTACTATAGTAACAACATCTACTATCCAATTACTTTATGCATTAACACTGTACTTTTGTTAGTACCAAATGCCAAGCGAGAACAAAGCTGGCTGTGACAGTTAAGGTTATGTGTCAACTTGACAGGACGATGATTCTCAGAGGTTTGGCAGTTATGTAATGATATAATTTGGAAGTTATAAAGACCTGGATTATAGACTTTAGAACCTAACACCATGTCAAAAGTAAGGCACTTAAACCAGCAACAAAAACAGGTGTACTTTATCTAATGTTGAAATGAAAAAAGGCATTCTGGAGGAAGTGACACATAAATAGTCTTCAATATGCACTTTATGAAAGATTGTCGAGTAATTTTGCTGAGAGTGGATCTTTTGCTTTGATTTTGCAATTTGATTAATTTAGATAATGCATACACCATAAAATTCATCCTTTTACAGTATGACATCCAGAGGTTTTTATTATGTTCCAAAAATTGTGTGACCACTTGGTTTTATAATCAAAAACTAACAAGGTTTTATAATCAAATACAAAATGTGTATATGTGAATAGAAGTGAGAAAAAAGTTTATTTTTATGTGAAAAAACTGTCCTTTGGAAAATCCCATCTGTAACAGAAATTGCATCAAAATGTCCCCAGCAGAAATGATCTAAATGTTATTCTTAAAAAAACAAATATATATGGTAAAAATAGATAAACTCCTCTTAATTATCTTCTCATAAACTAATTCTCCCTTCCTAAGTTTCCAATTTCCAAAAAGACCATCACAGGTTGTCTGATTCCTAAAAGCCATAAACTTCAAACTTCTCCTTCTGTGACTTCCAGACCCAGATCATAATTAATTACCATGACTGATACTCACAGATTTGGGCCTTCCTCTCATTTCTCCCATCAGTCCTATGCACGACCACAATAATAACAAACTATGTGCCTTAGATTTCTGATCCAACACTTCATGTCTCCTTATTGCCTACCTTTTGTTTCCCTGAAATTCTGAAGCAGTAGCACATAACCTGATACTTGATCATTTAAAAATATGCAGAGCAGTTTTTCCAAGATGATAGGAATGTGTACTGTGTATTTCCTACAACATCTAGCTCAGTGCTGGTCATAAAACATACATCAACAGTGTTGGCTAAATATTTATTTTCATGTTTTTAAGAAACAAATTTCATCAGCATGTAAAATTACCAGAATTTAAGTAAAACATATTAATATGTAAGCAAAAAAAAAAAAGTTTCTTGAAAAGTACATTGGAAGCCCAGTTACTCAAATTTCCTATTGGTAGATTTAGCAAAACAAAGTGCAATAAATGTTGTTTCTTATATTCATAAAAGACTGTATACATATTTTGTCCTTGGTTGTCTTAACAAAAGGTACTGGCAAAGCTCTTTATATTCAATTAAAGTGAAAATCAACTTTGTGATGTGAAGACTAACCTATGAAAATTTCCTTTCATTGTGAAGCAAGCTGTGACCACATTACTATTTTCACATGAATTATTTGTAGCTCAATGGTGATGTGCCTCTATTGCTTAAAAAAATCAAATTCTCTGTATCAAAAGATACTAGTTTCATGCTGAGTAGATGATGAAACTACCAATAATAATCCATACTGTTATTTCACAAATCTATAGCACCCAACTTGCACTTAAGAATGTCAAAACCTCAGGTAAATTATAGACATAATAAGATGAATTCCAGTATTACCTTAGTGGTATATGATTACTAAGGAACATTTCAGCTGTATTAATCAATTCTGCTGTGGTCTCATGAGCTGGGTCAATTATAAAAACCTGTGAAAATGGAAAAGCATAGTCCATTAGATAGATCTTAAATGAGTATAATGCTCAAGGCAGACATAGTTTACTAGTTAAACTAAACAATTGTTTCAAAGAAGACTTCAGGAGATATTTCAAATGTCACTGGGCCAGTAAAAATGTTGTTAGTCTCCTTACTTTAACATAAAGTTTTTCCAGTTACTTTTGAGCCACATAAAAGAGGAGATAACACAAATTATGGTTCTTTCCCTTTTCATGTTTAGAATGTGGCACTGCAAAGCTAAGTGAATTTCTCATGACCTTATGCTGATAAACTAGAAAAAAATTCCAAATTGTCATTGTTTTTAGGTGCCATCACCTTGGTTCTAACTTATAGTAACCCCATGCACAACAGAACAAAAACAGTGCCTGGTTTCACACCATCTCCACAATCATTGCTAAGTTTGAGCCCATTGCTTCAGCCATTGTGTCAATCCACTCAATAAGGGTCTTCATCTTTTTCACTGACCAACCAATATGTCCTTCTCCAGGGACTGGTCCCTCCTGATAACATGTCCAAAGCACATGAGAAAAGTGTCTCCACCCTTACTTCTGAGGTACATTCTGGCTGATTCTCTTACAAAAGAGATTTGTTTAGTCTTCTGATAGTCTATGGTATATTCAATATTCCTTACCAACACAATAATTCAAATACATCAATTCATTTTTTGTCTTCTTTATTCATTGTCCAGCTTTTGCATGCATATGAAACAATAAAAAGTACTACAGCTTAAGTATTCCAGATTACTAACTACTTAAGGAATTTATGAATTAGATTCACTTAGCCATTCAGTGCCAAATTCTTATACCAAAATAATAATAGCTATCACTTATAAAAACACTTACGTGCTAAGCAATTTATACATATTATCTAATAAAGCCTAAACAGATGATAAGAAAGAAAGAGACTGAAATGAGAAAATTATAGATGACAGAGTTTATTCTGTGTATCTGTAGAAGCAGACAGTAGCACTAACTTGCCACCAAGAATAAGAGGGAAATGTCAAAGACAGCATGGAGAATGACTAAGAACCCTCTTTTCTCTTTAACAGTAAAATAAACATCAAGTAAGAATTGGAAAAACTCTACTGAAATAAACCATTTGATATGGAATCAGTTCCAACTCATTTCAATTCTATGTGTGTCAAAATAGAACTGTGCTCCAGAGTTTTATTGATTTTTTAAAAAATAATTTATTTTTGCTATTCCTATTACACACAGCAGAACATAAACAATTCAACAATTTCTATGTTTAAGACACTGATTGATTATACTATTTGAGTACAGTCATTCTCACCCTCCTAAGTTATTCCTCTCTCATTACAGAAACTCACTACTGGCTAAGTTTCCTATATAACCTTTAGATTTGCTGGTGACAGTTTAATCCCATTAAATAGGCCTTAAAAGAGTATAATGCTCAAGGCAAACATGTTTGAGCAGTTGAGCTAAACTATGGTTTAAAGAAGACTTCAGTAGATATTTTGGCTTTATGGTTTAAAGATTCTCTCAGGAGTTTCAAGATTCATCTAGTCTCCTTAGTTCTAGAAATCTGAATTACATACATAATTTGAAATTCTGTCTGCATTCTCCCCTTTTATCATAATTCTTCAATAGAATCTTTGATCAAAGTGTTCAGAGGAATAGCCAGGTACCATCTAGTTCTTCTTGCCTTATAGCAAGAAATAGACCTTAATGGAGGCAACAGGCAACACATGCCATTTTGTTGTCCTCCTCCTTCTAGCTCTTTCTTTCTTTGTTGCTCCCAAAGATATAGAGATCAATTGTTGTGCCTTGTATGACTACCTTGCAAGTTTTTAAAATGCCAGGCACTGCACCAAGAACTAGTAGGTATAGTGGTATTAAATCAATTAACTGGTATGTCCCATGAAACCATGATCCTAAATTCCCAATCTAACAATCCAAATCCCCTGGGTTGTTTGGTTGTACATAAGCAACCTCAGCAGTTACTTTCCACAGAGTGTTCAAGGAAGTCTTTTTTAAAGAAAGAGCTCTTTCTTCCAAACCTTGAACTTTTGGGTTAGAGTTAAAAACATTAACTACCTGCATGCAAAGGGATGCCTTTACTTATTACTTACTACTTTGAATTACTAAGTTTTAAGGATGAAGACAGTAAAGACAATTAGTAGCAATACACATTTTCTGAGTAAAAAGTAGAACATTTATCTTAAAACAACAGATTTTAAGCTTTCATGTTGAGGAATAGGAATACTTCCTTACAGTGACGGAAGCTATAACTTCTTCTTCTTTTTCTTCTTCTTGGGTGCCATTAAGTCCGGTTCGACCCATGGTGACCCGGCACAGGGTTTCTGAGGAGCGGTTGGTGAGCTTGACCAACCGACCATGCAGTTCAAACGAACCTTGCAGTCCAGTGCATTAGCCCACAGTGACATACCAAGACTTCTTAAAAATTATCAATTCTCTGTCAAACTCTTTCAGAATAGAACTACAAATACAGAGCTAAATAAAATGCCAGACTCCTGCTACAGGATAGGCACTGGACTTCGAACCACAAGGCCAGCAGTCCAAACCCACCAGCTTCTCCTCAGAAATCCTAAACGGGGTCACTATGAACACTGATCTAAAGGCACTTAACAACAACAAATAAAATGTGGTGGTAGTGGTGAGGAAGCAGCTAATAATGAAGTGAATATTCTAAATGTTACTTTAAGGTAGGCGAGAAGACAAGAAAGAGACAGAGTTCATGAACACACAAGAAGTTTTACTCACCATGTTATGCAAATTTTTCCGGATCTGCCTGATAACACCAGGAAAGGTGGGTCGAAGCAACTCTTGTAGACTAGAAGGCCATGAATTATATCTGCTATCAACCTCAAGGTTGTTAATCCACTATGGAAAAGATAAACATAACATGGTGCATGTCTTTTAGTTACCAGATAGCAAAATTTTCAGTAATAAAAAAAGTCTAAATTATTTTAAAACAATTATGTGGGAAATAAAATAATTTCAAAATCTCATGATAGAGAACTTAGGATGCACAGATCAAAGAGGAAAAATTAGTATATAATGCATTTGAGTTATCATGTTGGAGAATATTAAAAGTACCATGGACTGTAAGAAGAACAAATCTGTGTTGGAAGAAGTAGTTAGAATGCTCCTTAGACACCAGAAAGGCAAGACTTTGTTTCTCATACTTCAGACATGTTATTAGGAGGGACCAGTCCCTGAAGGACAGCATGTTTGGTAAGTAGAGGGTCAGCAAAAAAGAGGAAGACTTCCAACGAGATACTGCACAGTGGCAGCAGCAATGAGCTCAAGCATAACAATAATTCTGACAATGGCACAGGACCAGGCAATATTTTGTTTTGTTGTGCACAGGGTCAATATGAGTCAGAGTCAACTCAACAGCACCTAACCACAACAGCAGACAATCAAAGAATAGAAGATATTTGCAACCTAGCAAAAGCAATAAATGACTGGTGTGTACAATGAATACAGAACTTAAAACATATCAATGACAAAGCACAAGGAGCCCATCAGGAAAATGGGTCAAGAATATGATTAAGAAATTTACAGAACACCACTGACCAGGAGATGAAAGAGAGAGGAGAGGATGGGCCAGTTGGTCCAAAGCGTGCTGAGACCTGAGGACTCCTAAGCCCATGGACAAGGACCTAGCCACAGAAGACTAGAGCTGAGAGTGAAGCATCCAGCTGATATGAACTGAGGGGAGATACACAAAAATGTTCAAATTTACAGATAGTACCCATTTGATGGCTTGATGATCCAAACTCAACTAGAAGAGGAAGATAAAGAAATTTGATAAAGGAAACAAGTATAAATTGCTACAATTTGATGAACTTGACCTATATTTATGGATGCAGTAGCTCAAAAAACCAACCGAGAGGGAAGGAGTCTTCACATCAAGGATCAAATATATCCCCTCTGTACACAAGGTTCATAGGGATGAGCAATTTAGAAATTGGCTACCTATAAAGGCATAAAGTGGCTGGCTTACAAGTTTTCAGGAGGGAGTTTAGTTTAAGAGTGTGCGGGGGAAGGTAGAATCCCCAATCAACAGTTTTCATCCTGTCTAGATGAATCTGGTAAAAGGAGATGGGAATAAGTCATTTGTAAGGTCAGTTCTCTTTACTAGATAGAAAAAGTTGTCAAGTTGTTGCTAATTGCAGTCAAGACAACTCTGACTCACAGTGACCCTGTGAGTACAGAGGGGATTTTATGTGAATTTATGAAAGCAGATCACCAGGATTATCTTCTGAGGTGCTTCTGGGAAGGTTTGAATCAACCATCTTACAGCTTACAGTAGGCAAGTCCTTAACTGCTTGCATTATGCATATTGTCCACTACACATGCATATAAAAATTAGATCTACATGTACTAACCTCTTTAAGTCTTGGGGGAAATGTTTCACAAAAAATAAAGCTATAACATTATTTAAAGAGGTAAAAAAAACTGATAAGTAACGTTATATGGAAAGGAAAGAGACCTCAGGTAAGTAAAGCATTGCTTTAAAAAAATTGAAGGCCTGTCACTTCCTCTTCTTAGAAGCTAGTACCCAGAAATCACTGTGGTCAAAAAGCCGGGTTTAATGATAGATTAACGGGACAGAATTGAGAAGCCAGAAGTAAACGGCTAAAACACATTAAAATGGGGAAAAGATAGTGTCTTCAACATATGGTGCTAGCAAAACTGGAATCCATTTCCAGAAGATTAAAACACGTCCCTTATCTCACATCATATAAAAAAAACAAGCTCAATGGGTATTAAATACCCAAATGTAAAACCTAAACTGAAAAAATAATCAATAAATAAACAAGGACAGAATAAGGGACTCTAATATATGGAATAGATACAAAAACAAACATAACTAAAAACACACAAACAGTAGAACACAAGCCAGATGACTGGGACCTCCTAAAAGTTAAACACTTAAATGCATAGAAGATTTTTCCAAAAGATAACCCACAGACTGGGGGTGGGGGTGGGGGGGCGTAAGTGGAATGGATGCAACAACGTATCAGAGAAGGGAATGATCTCTAAAATTCATAAAAAACAACAACACCTCTACAAGAAAAACAAAAACCCAATTTAAAAATGGTCACAGGAAGAAATTCAGGCAGCCAACAAACATGAAGAAATGTTCAAGATCATTTGACATTAGAGAGATGCAAAACAAAACAATGAGATATCATCTCACCACAGCATTAATAGCAAAGTTAAAAACAACAATTGTTGGCAAGGGTGTGGAGAGACGGGGACCTGCACTGCTGGTAGGTCTGCAAAATGGTTCGACCCTTGTGGAAAGCGGTATGGCACATCCTCAGAAAGTTGGACATAGAAATACTGTGCGATCGATCCAGCAATCCCTCTACTTGATATATATCCACAAGCAGTAAGAACCAGGACACAAGGAGATACATAAGCACTGATGTTCATTGCAGTACTATTCACAATAGCAAAAAAGATGGAGCCAGCTGAAATGAGTATCAATGGAACAATGGATAAATACATACACTTATATATCCCACAAACATAGATTAAAAGGATATTTGTACATGAGTATTTACTTTTCATACAAATACAACTATGAGTGAGGTAGAACATACAGTAGAAAAAATGATCAAAACTTCCTAGATACTATCAAGCATCTAAGGCAATGAGTTGCTAGGTCTGAAGTCTCAGGAGCACCATGGTTAGTTGGCATAACATAGGCCACACAGACAATGCTCTACATCCTACTTGGGTGAATAGTATCTGGGATCTTGAAAGCACATGAGTAACCATCTAAGGTGCAACTATTGGTCTCTCCATATGCAGAAGAAAGAAGAGTGAAGAAAATCTAAAAGGCTTGGAATCAATTAGTACAATGGACTAATGGAACATGTGAACAGAGACCAAAAGAACTAGATGGTACCTAGCTATCACTACTAACATCTATCAATGGGATCACATCAGAAGCTTCCAGATAGAATAAATAAGAGGAGTAGAATTGGGAAGGAATATAAAAAAGGTTCAACTGAAGCATTTTCTTCTTTCAAAACAAAAAGATTTGACATGAAATGATTAACTGGTTACATTAAAATCCTCACCAATTATGTATGAATGATTGATCAGTCACATGGTTATTAATGGTGTTAATCGCTTTACTCTTAAATAATTAAAACATTTTGAATAGAAAACAAATGGCATGACAATATTCACCAAAACAGCTATATAGTTAGAACTCAAGTAATAGTCAGTTACAGTTTATATTATTTGTTATCCAATAAAATTTCTCCACAGAAAATGTAGTACAAAATCCAGAAATCAGAAAAAAGGACTCCAGTGCACACAGTGCAATAGACACATTTCTATCACATATCTAACTTTCATCAGACTCCCTATATTGTATATAGGGAATATATAATATTAAACATATTTTCATCTATTCCCTATGTTATCTTTTGCAGTAAATCATATAAAACCCTTTCTAAGTATTGAAAGAGCCTACTTTATTATATACACATAGTCCCCTATAACCAGTTGTTGTATATCTTTATTTCATGACAACAAAAGAGATAGTGGAAATAATTTACCTCTCATAAAAGATAAACTGGAGAACAACCACACTTGCAGATAATACCCACTTGACCTGACTTCAATGACTGGATGATCAGAGCTCAACCAGAAGAAGAAAGAAGAAAAAAAGAGTAATCTGATACAATTTGATGAACTTGACCTACACCTACGGATGCAGTAGTTCAAAAGAGGGAACAAATCCTTACAGCAAGAATCATTCCC